AGCGGAGCAATACAATCACTTGGACAGAGGTAAGTAACGAACACTTATAAGTATATAAAAAAACGGGTGTGGCAGCCCAGTGGGTCTGCCGGTAGAAGTTATACTTCTATACACGCGTTCGCCGTTACAAATTTATATAGGAGTCAATCTGCACAATAATTACATATTTAATGCTATAGGTAAGAGAGAGCAGAAAGAGAAAAAGAATTAGGAATATAGGTATTTTTTTACACGTACTTTGTAGTAAAATTCATTGTTTATTTTGTTATTAATATAAAAATTACAATACAATACATTGCAACATAATTCAATATAATAATACAATACAAATAAAATGCAATATTCATAAGTATTAAAAACTTACTTTACGAAGATAAAAATAAAAACCAACAACTCGGATTCTATTGTAAATTTTCCTTTTATTTTAAAATTTAACACTATTGCGTATATTACATATATTTAATAACAATAACGTGAGGTTTTTATATATTTCAAAAATAAAACAGGCAATTTATATTATGATTCGAACTCACGTACACCAGCGTATGAACCAAACACATAAAAGATTAGCCAATTAGACATGATATTAACGAATTTCAAAATTGACAGTTGTCTTGTTATACAGTGATTTGAAATACAACAGCCTAAAATAATTATGAACATTTAATAAATAATTAATTAGTAAAATACTTTGTTATTTTTCGTCCGTGATAATCCCGAAAATTCGAGAGTTACAACGAAAAATAATTTAGTGCAATAAGCCTATGTGTATAATTAAAATAATAAGTTAATAACAGTGATAAGGTTTGGCCGTAAAACATTAAAAAACAAATGTGTGAATGAGTGAATTAAAGAATTAAAGATGAGTGAATTAAAAACAAATAAACAAGGTTAACTGATAATTATTGAACTATAAACAATTAAACCGGTAATTACATCAAATTCTTGTCTGATTTTAAAGCGACGTTGCCAAACTGACCAGAATTTCTAAGTAGAAAATAAAATAAATAACATGTTGAAATAAATAACATGAACATGTTGAAGAAGCAAAAGTATACATCAATGATGATACTACGAATAAAGAGAGAGAAATTCAGAAAACAATTAGAAAACTTGCGCAAGAAGAAAAGGAGAGAGGAAAGGATGTAAGACTTGGTGGTTATAAAATATGGATCAACAAGGTCGGCTGGAAATGGGACAACAAAGAGAACAAACTAGTCAAAATGGGGACAAAAAACTAGTAAATAAATGTGCCGGAAATACTACGACAAACCAGGCAATGCCAACGGACATGAATAGTTATAGAATAGGTAGTAAAGACAAAGATAGATCTATAAATAATGAACAAGGACGTGAGCAACGAGAGACAAGAAAGGGTAAACCCATAAAAATGCAGTCAGCAACGAGCGAGAATATAAACAGTAACTATGTAAAACCCGCATTAAACAAGAAAGAGCTTAATGACATGGCCCACAATAACGGAGCAGTGCTAAAGCCCAAAGGATGGACATTAGCAACGTAGAATGTCAGAGGTCTCAACGGCAAAGAAGTCGAACTTGCTGAAGAATTTGAGAAAAATCAAATAGACTTATTGGGTATAACAGAGACCAAAAAGAAGGGAAAAAACACACAGTTTTTAGAAAATGGACACTTCCTCATCACCAGTGGAGTGTCACTTGGCGAAAGGGCAAAAGAAGGGGTAGGCTGCCTGATACACAGTAACCTAATAAAGAATATTCAAGATTGGGAATGCATTTCAGAGAGAATTCTGAAGATAAGACTGGTAACTGCGGAACACAAACTAGTCAATATCATCGTTATGTATGGAATAAATGATGACGAAAGAGCAGCTAGCAAAGATCTATTCTGGGATACGGCCTCAGAAATAATAGACAGTTTAGAAGGCAATACTATAGTACTAGGGGATTTAAATGGTCGAGTGGGTGTAAGAGATGAACATACCCAAGATGTATTAGGACCATATGGAGAAGAAATAAAAAATGACAATGGGGAACGTATTATTGATATATGCAGAGAAAATAATTTAATAATAATGAACACATTTTTTAAACACAAAGATGCACATAAATATACAAGAGAAGTCAAAAGTAGAGGCGAAAGATCCATCATAGACTATGTATTAGTAAATAGATCATCGAGGCAATGTATTAAAGACGTAAGAGTAAAACGAGGAGCTGAAAATATACAGTGACCACTATCTAGTTATAGCCAGGACCAGCTTAGGAGTGCGACAAGAATCAATAACGAAAGAGACCAAGAAAACAAGTAAAGCTCATAATACACCCACTATAGAAGTAATCAGGTCACATAAGCTAGCGGACAAGGAGACAGCAAACAAGTTTGGAAACTACGTTAAAAACTACCTAACAGAGCACGCTGAACATGACTGTGACTTAGACCAAAATTGGCAAATACTGAAAGAAGCACTCCTAAACGGTGGTAAACAAGCATGCGGAATAACAAGAAATAACAAAAGCAAAAAGTGTACAAACTGGTGGAACAATGAAATAAAAGCAGAAGTGAAGTCCAAGAAGATAGCTTGGAAAAATTATTTAAGGAACGGAACTGCAGACAACTACCAAATATATAAACTGCAAAGAATCAAAGTCAAAGATATGGTACTAGCAGCGAAACGGAAAAGTTGGGAAGAATTCGGAAACAAGATGGAAGAAGACTATCACTCTAACGAAAAGTTATTCTTTAAAACCCTGAAGACTTTAAGAACCGAAAGGGCTCCACAAACACCAAAGCAAATAAGGAACAAAGAAGGACACCTACTTCATGACAATGACCACATCCTAGATAGATGGAAGCAATATTTCGAGGATCTATTGAATATCCAAAACGATGTAGACATTATCACAGAAGAACCAGAAGAGGTAGAACAAGAAGACCAAATTCAAGATGAAATAACTATAGCAGAAACAAAAGAAATCATACAAAAGCTTAAGAAAGGTAAGGCGGCTGGATTTGATAAAATCACAGCAGAAATGCTTAAAAACATGGGCGACAAGGGCATTGAACTGCTAACAAAAGTATGTAATAGGGCATGGAATGAGAGCCAAATACCAAAAGATTGGGAAGTGGGAGTTATTCTACCCATTTTCAAAAAGGGAGACAGACGCGAATGTAGTAACTACAGAGGAATAACACTACTGAGCATCCCATCCAAAGTATATGAGAGAATACTAGAAAAACGTCTTTTACAAGAAGTCGATTCTAAATTGGAACAATCACAGAGTGGATTTAGAAAAGGCAGAAGTATCCAAGATCACATTTTTACTATCAAAAAACTAATACAAAACGCAAGGAACTCAAGCACAGAGTTATACCAAGCCTTTATAGACTTAGAAAAGGCATTTGATAGTACTCCAAGGAAGGTGATTGATATATGTTTAAAAAAGAAAGGTGTGAAAACTAAACTCAGGCAAGCCATTATGAGTATATACAGACATACAAGGAACATAATCAGAACCGATAATATGGAATCCGAAGAGTTCACAGTAAATGAGGGTCTACGTCAAGGAGGAGTCTTAGGCCCCATACTGTTTAACATTGTCTTGGATGACATAATTAAAGAAACTAGAGCAGAAACATTGAAATTATATGCCGGACATAGAAATCTAGATGCAGTGTGGATCTCAGAGTGTGCATACGCAGACGATCTAGTGATATTTGGGATAAATGAACAAGCACTCAATCGAAATTTACAAGTATGGAACACTGCACTAATTAAACGAAATTTGAGGATCAATAATGAGAAGACGAAAGTAATGGTATGTGGAAAAAATAGAAGACAAACGAAGATAACACTTAACGGAAATACACTTGAACAAGTCGATACTTACAAATACTTGGGAGTACAAATAGAGAACAGAGGAACTGAAGAAACTGAAATAAGTTCCAGAATAGAAAGTGCTGCTCGGATGTACCACGCAATTAAAAGTACGTTTCTGTCAAAAAAAGAAGTATCCCAAAAAGCCAAAGTGACCATATACAAGACGGTATTTGTGCCGATTTTAACTTTTGGTAGTGAAAGTTGGACGCTTACCGATAAGTTAAAATCGAAAATACAAAGCATAGAAATGAAGTTTCTTAGAAGAATAATGGGTATAACCAGGTTAGATAGGATTAGAAATGAGGCAGTCAGAGAACATCTTAAAGTCCAACCAATTATTAAGAAAATTGAAGAGGCCCAACTAAGATGGTACGGACACATGGTTAGAAGCAAAGACGGCAAGAGACGGTTCTCCTAAAGAAAGATGATCAGTAGGAAGATTTCGATGACGATGGAATAACAACTTAGTAGAGGCACATTAGAAAGCAAGAAGAAATGGTCTTGAAAAACTTACCATCTAGGGAAAAGTAAAAGGCAAAAGAAATAAAGGTAGATCTCCCACACAATACACGGACCATATTGTTGCTACCATTGGCGCTCCATTGTCAGAATGTGCTAGAATGACAGAAGATAGAAAAACGTGGAGGAACATTTAGAAATTTAGCTAATAGCTTCATGATATCATGATACCTGCATCAGGTTAACGACTAAGAAGAAGAGGCACAATAAAAAACAGACAGAGCCATTTCTTTATAAAAAGAAGAAGATGAAGAAAATCTACACTATTTATATGTGGAAATCAAACATTAAGTTTTTTTGTTTAAAAAAATATACTTAAGAATAATTCTTTTAGTCATTGTTTAAGCTTATTTTAAAAAATTCTGCAGTTTTAAACAGTTTTCCGTAATTGCTTAGATAAAAATAACGAAAAATAGTAAAAATCAGAATTACCTGAAACAAAAATGTATCAAAAACTGTCAAAAGTTTTAAAACGTTGCATTAAAAAAATACTTTATACATACATAAACACTAGAAACTATAATATTTCTCAAACAAAACACAAGTTATAATGATTATGTTGTTTTAATAATATTCAAAATTTCTAACAAATAAATAAATTATGTCTTAAATTACAATTTGGTTAAATTTCATGTACTTGATAGTATTTTATTTTTCCCATATTGCTTGTCACAAATACACTTCGATCGGCGTTATATTTCTTGTCGACTAACTTCCACCAATCCTGATGATGTTTGATAAGGTAAGCTATAACTTTAAGCGCATTTTCTTTTTGAGTTGCATCACATTCTTTGCAGTTCTCTTTAAATGCACCAGGAAGGACCTCTGAAAAATGAAAAAGAAAACAAAATGTAGTAACTACAAAAGTATTAATGGATTCAAATTATACGAGAACTGTTCAGTATAACCATGTTTGATGGAGATATTGATGGGGTTATTTCCATGCCAACAAAATTTAGAGTTTTTGGTTTGAAATTATGAGGTTTGTGATTATAAAGAGACATCGATTATTGCAAAATATATTAAAAATTATTTGTTATTCGGCTATTGGCAGGGCTGTCATCCAATGAAAATTTATAAAATAATTAAAGCTATCTATATTAACTTAAGTTATTCATATATGGCAGTGGCTAACTCAGCATGGCGTTACAACTATTCGTGAGCCTTTGTTTCGTTTACTATTGCCTTTTATTTATGTCCGTTCTGTGACACTCTTCTTCTTCCTCATCCACTGCTTTCCAGCTACAGCAGTTATATCGTCCATGCATCTCTTTTTAGGTCTTCTTAATTCTTTTTAGGTCTTTTTAATTTGTTCTACCTTTTCGATATTGATGTTATCTATCGTGTTGTTTTCTAGGGTGTTGTTTAATATCTTTGTTTTGTCGAGATTCATTTTTAATCCTATTTGATTCAATTTATGATTTAAATCTTGTAGCATTGATTTTAGTTCATGGATATCTGTGCTTATTAGTACTATGTCGTCTGCAAATGGTTAAGATATACTCCATCTATTTTTAATCCCTTTTCGGCTCAATTTAGTTTTTTGAAAACATTTTCTAATGCCAAAGTAAATAACTTGGGTGAGATGGTGTCGCCCTGTCTCACACCTTTGCCAAGGTCTATTTTCATAGTTTCCAGATCACCATCTATTTTTACGTGAAAAGTAGGATCATCTTATATATTCTTAGGGAGGGCAGTATATCTTGAATCTACTCTGGCGTCATCCAATGTTGTTAAGAAAGCCCATTTGTCGATACTGTCGAATGCTTTGTAATAATCGACAAATGCTGGATGTAGTAGTATGTTGGACTCTATTGTTTTTTTAATAACTGTCCGGATTGTTTGCAAGTGATCGATAGTGCTAAAACCCTTATGACAGCCTACTTGCTCTACTAGTTGGTATGCATCTAGTTTTGCTGTCAATCTATTGTTAATCTGTCACACTATTTCCCCTATATTCTCCAAATCTCTTCTGACTGCATCTTTACACCTTTTTCTAGGCCGTACAGATCTTCTTCTGTCTGGTATTTCTCAAAATACGTTGTTTATAAATTATAAGGTGATTGTCATTACTGACCGGACCATAAAACTATAGTAGTTACGTTACGAATGAAATCGAAGTTAATTAAAAACCCACACACAATCGAATTGGTATTAAAATATTAAAGGAACCACAAATAAACGAATAAAATGTAAAAACCCTTACTGAACATCTACATATTGACCAAGAACTGAATAAAAGTAGCTCTAACATCGATCAGAAATGGGAAAATATAAACAAGCAGTAATTAAGGCAGGAAGTGAAAAGTTAAAAACAGAAGAAAGGAAACATAAAGAGTGGCTGACTAAAGAAATATTACTTTTAGTGAGTGAACGAAAATCATTCAAATAAAAAATCTAATCAGTTATAAAGAAAGTGATCAAATATTTAAAAAAAATAGTAGATGCTTAAGAGAGATGGAACTAAAAACTGGAAGAAATTAGGGGAGGCTTATGTCCAACTCTGGACACAGAAGTCTGTATGATGATGATAATGATAAAAGAGAGATTGTTACGCGGGCGAAACTAAAATTTTTGAAACAATATGCCATTCTTAACATGCATAATATGACTAAAGAACTAAGAGGAATAAAAAAAACAGTACAAACTACTCAAATAAGAGTAACAGTGGAATTCTCGTTGAGTTACTCAAAATTGTGGAAATTGAGTTTATTAACTTACTATTGGATCTGTTCAACACTATATCTGGAACAGGAATACTACTTGAAGAATGGCTTCAATCGACATTTATACTGCTTCCCAAAAAAAAACCAATGCAAAGGAGTGCGACGAACATAACAACATTTCCTTAATGAGTCATGCCTTGAAATTATGTTAAAGAGTAATGCACTATAAGAAAATATGTTTCATTCACTATTTTATTAATTTTGAGAAGACTTTTGACAGAGTGCAGCATATTCTTTTTGAAGAAGAAATTTTGTTAAAGAAAAACATAGACGGCAGAGATATTAGAGTTTTATGATGGATATAGTTGCAAAACCCGCCAAGTCACATTTTTGTGCAATTTGCAATTGATACAGAAATTTGTTCTTTATTTGTATAAACCTAAATTTAAACATAATTTAGGTGAAAATTCTACCTTAAATCGGAGTAATTTAAAGAAGAAAATTCGCTTAAACTGCAAAACCCGTCCTGTCCAAAAAAATTTAATTGCAAAGACCTCCATGTTCACCTTCCGAAGGCTTACGTAAACTTCTTTTGTTTTGTTGCAATGGATAACGATAACATTGGTATCTCTATAGAAAAAAACTCGTAGAGCTTGGTAAATATAAAAGAGTAGTCACTTTGAAAATAGGTAAGCATAGAAAGCTAGATAATGTTTCAATGCATCGAACTAATCATGTTTTCATTTTAGATATTTGGCTGAAGGCTTGCTTGAAAAACCAAGATGTGTGCATAAAAATATGTTCTTAAGGTACAATTCATTAACTATGAGGGATATAAAATTTGTTCATGAAAGATTTTATGAAGTTCCATTCAAAATATAAACAAGATGCTTTCATATTAAAATGTTGTGGGGCTAAGACCCGCAGAGAAGAAGAAGACGAGCAGAGAGAGAAGTGAGCAGCACAATTTTTTAAAAACAGCTATTAATAAATTATAGATTACCAAAACAAGGTGGCGAATGTATTTAAGTGTTTGCAGAGGAACCTTTATGCAAATTTTAGGCGTGAAAAATATAGAGTTCAGGGTGCGATGAAGCTTGTTTTAAGGGATTAACTTAATCAAAAAAAACGAGGTGGCGACCACATTCTAGAAAAATAATCAAAAAAGTTAGCCATGAGTAATTTTATTGAGAGTTTCAAATGGCTGGAATTTCATTACTGCAGGAAAAAGTATAGAAAAGAACCTATCATGTGATCTTTATATAAGAAATCTCTTTAAACTTTACAATACATCAGTGGATAGCTTTCTTACATTTAAGAAATTTTATTTTCGTTCATAGTTTACAACGGACTATAATATAGGTTTTGGAATGCCTATCACATACGCATGCTCCATCTTTTTTACGATATAAGGAAAAGATAAGAAAGGAAAAAGATGAAGGAACATATGATGAGAAATCAAGGCAGATACGAGCTACTTCAATGCACTTTGCAAAGTAAAATTGAAGAAAAAAGTGCCCCAGGACGAAGAAGAATTTCCTGGCTTGCTAACCTAAGAGCATGGTATAGAAAGACCTAAACACAACTCAATATTCGCTGTATTAAACTAATATTCCCAGTTGTAAGACACAGTTTTATACCGGCAGATAGAGTTGGTATTTCTGAAGAAAAATTAAAAAAAAAACAGAAATTATAACCAATTCAGAACACAACATAGCTATAATAAAACAAAACGTAACAATCTATAAAATGTTCGAAGACTGGAACCCGTTTGATTGCAAAACCTCAGTCTTAAGTTTTTAAACCACCAGGAGCTTTGCACTTTCAATTTCAACAGTGCAAACGCATTAGGATTTTGAATGCGACATGATAATATAATTGAAGTTCAGGGCGAAGTCAACTACAATACTTTCATTGGTGTTTTAAAGGGCATTTGTAAAAGGGAAAATATATTCGGTATAAATTAGATTAAATTTGAAGCTGTCAGAGTAAGTGACAAAAAGAATACCTATAGTTATTCCAAACTATTAGAAACATATTATGGAACTAATTGGCTAGAAAATTCTGATTTAAAGTTTTATAAAGATGTCATACATACATTTTCTCTAAATAATGACGAGAGTGATCCACAACTATTGAAAAATGAGTAAAGAATTATCTCCAAAAAAAAAACAACTGGGATGTGAAATTTTTTGTGTTAAAAAAATAATTATATAAATATGAACAAATAAATATGTCTTAAGTAATAAAAGTCTAATGTTGAAAGTTATTTATTAAGTAAATTTAAAAAAACACCTTTTCCTAATTTTTAGAGAATTTCTAATCCAAAGTTTCTGAATGTTGTTGAAAATCCCGCCATGTACATAAATAATATCAATTTTATATTGAAACTGCAGCTCGAATATTTTTTATTTTGTATTTTTTTAATAAAATAGTATACTAGAATACAAGATTATTGTAAGCACCTGGTATAAACTATCCCAGCGATGACTATACACTTGGAAAGCTCCATTTGATGATGGCAATAAAACTGAGTCCTCAAGAAATCAAATAGACTATATACTTTTGTAAATCAGCGTTTTCGAAATGCCGTCAAATAAATAACTACATTTCCTGGGACAGATATTGGATCTGATCATTAACCACTTGTAGCAGATATTAAACTAAGGTTAAAACGAATTCAGCGATAAAAATCAAAAACTAATGCAGTTTACTTTGACGACATAAACATAGAACATAACATTAAAAAAGAATTACTAAAGAAGAACTATGGAGTGAATTTAAAAACCAAGTTAACGAAATCTCCACAAACAATGATTATAGAAAAAACTTAATTAAGGGAACAACGTCGACTGATAAAATCTAAAGAAACAGAATATAGATACCTGCAGAGAAGAATAAAAAGGGAGATCAAATTAGCCAAAGAAATGTCGACGAGAGAAAGGTGCGACGAAATGAAGAATGTAATATCTAAACACTTATTTAATGTGCACAAAAAACTAAAAGAAATGAGTAACATTATTAAAAAAAACGAGTTTCCTCTGTACTCGTTGACAATAATAACAAAATTTTTGTAAATGTGCACGAAATAAATAAATAATGGCAGCTGTATATATCAGAGTTATTTGAAGATGATAGGAATAATATTGCCCGAATTCT